GCCAAGCAGGAGGGAGTCAACTGGGAAACCTCCCAAACAATTACTAAATATCAAAAAAGAAAGCTTTCCATGAATTCACTATGTCTTCTTTTAACTTTTGCAGTTCTTTGAACAGTTGTCCATGTATTCGGGTTCCTGAGTCAAGTACCCAGTTCCGAGCTTTGGGCTTTTTTAAAATAATGTTTCCTGATTGTGTTTCTTTGCATTTGGTTCTTCCCTCTAATTCTGTTCTTGGTTTTAGTTCATATTGTATTCCTTGCTTGCCTTATTTTCCCGTATCTGGTCAAATCCCATCTCTGTGTTTCATCTTATATCACTTTGTCATTTTTTTTGTTAGTTATTTGTCTCATTTGCACCGTGTCTAGTTTAACTGTCCTCTCATTATCCCTGATTTATTCCTGCCGTGTCTCCCACTTATTTAACCCTCACCTCATTACCATGTGTGTAAACTGTTTACATCTTCCTCTGGTCCTTTGTCGCATCCTTGATCACTGCTGTGTGTTTCCTTGCTCCGTGTTTCCTGAAGTTATGTGCTCCCTATCTATGTTACTGTACAAATTATATATTATTAACATAAAACTATGTTTCTAGAATATGTTTATTGGGGCTAAAACAAACAAACTATTGTTGTTCAGTCTTTTTTCTAAATTCTGCCTATAACTGATGCCTGTGGAGTCTCACATGTAACTATTGGGGGTTTTACAGTTTCTTTGGCTTTGGGGTGAGCTTGCTGGGATGTCCACTGCTGGGAAGACTGGATGTTTTGCACTTGTGAATAATCTCTCTCACTGTTTTAAAATTGTTTGAAAATAGCCTTAATGTGTCTTTCCCCTCCATGGTTTACCCCAGATTTCTATTGTTTTGTATTCCTGACTCCAGCGCTTCCTTCAATTTGTATGTTTGAGATTTTGAAAAAGCTCGTGCATCAAAGCGGTTTTTGAGTTCACATTTTTCCCTCTCCTCCATACTGGGTCCAAAAGCTGCTGCACAGCACATGATTTTACTTTAAAAAAAGAAACAAACAAAACAAAAATACTGCATAAGGTATAAAATCCATACTTTACTATAAATTCTTTCCCTTATCAAGTTCTGGATCATGGGTGCAAGAGGAGGAGTGCACCGCAAACAGGCTGCCAGTCCCATTAACACCAACAGAGAGAATGCATGAACTCTAACACAGAAATTTGAACCCAAGACCTTTTTGTTGATAACCTATACTAGCTTCTTGTGGATGTAAAATGTAAAGTACTGATCATTTTTTGTTAGACCCTAACCCTAACCCTTCAGAACTCGAGTACGATTACCTCAGCCAAGGACGTAATAGTTCTGTCCTTAAAACACGACAGCTCCAAAAGTTTTGAACGAATTCTCATAAAAATTTGTTGGGGTGTGGAGTAGGGTCATGGAAAAAAATTCTATTAAAATTTGGTTTACATTCACCAAAGTTTTTAAGGACAACTTAATGAGTTAATGGTCAGAAATTGACAGAACACCTTATATTTTAGAAACTAAGGCTTCTGTATTAAGCAGTTTATCAAAATATTTCTTACTGCCTTTTTATTGACAACATATATTCTAAATATCATGTTATTATGATCTTAAATAAAGTCAAACATTCATAAACTGTCTTTTATATTTAAAACTTTACTTGAAATTCTGCTGCCTTTGACTGTATTGGAAACATTCAGGTATTGATACTGGTATATGGGTACTCCAAACGTCCAAATGTCATTTTATATTTGACCTCTGATCTCAGTTTTACATTTCGCATTTGTCGTTGTTTCAGGTTGACCCCAAAACGTGTTATATCTTTAAAGGGAGTATTACCTAGTTAGTTAGAAATATACTATACTATATTATTATAGAACAAGCTCAGGTTATTCGTGCCCAGTTATTTACAAATAAATATCTATTATCTATTATCGACTCCTACATAATGTTTATGTAATCAAAGTAAACATCTCTCATGCTACTCTTGTCTGAGTTTCTTAGCTGAGGTCATAATCACACGTTACCAGTATAGTTAAACGCCCTCGAGTGTTACGGTAGCTAATCAGTAGGCTGCCCAACTATTATTAAGTATTATTTATTTTTGGAAAACAAACTTGTGTTCACTTTATGTATGTTTATGTATGTTGCTAAACACCTAAATAAATTTTTACTAAACAATGTAATGCATGCTACATATGTAGTATATCCACATAAAAAAAGGCGGTTTCATAAATAAATTTAATAACAGTCACCGCGGGCACATTTTGGGACCAGGCCTTATGTTTGGCACCCCTGCTCTTAGTTTTCATTAAACTTGAAACAAAGAAACTACAGAGAATTTTTGTCACAGTAAAACCCTGTGTGCAAAGATAGAACTGATAAGTCATTTTCACATCTGACTGACTGTATCGATTTGTTGAATATCTTAGGTTCATCAAAGTTGTACTGTCTGCGTTTTGCAGTATAAAGAGACAGACACAGATTAGTTAAGTGCCATAATAGAGCTTTGACAGCTGAAGAGGTTAGAAGTCAGAAAAATAAGACGCAGTCATAAATAAGAATTGGATTCATGAATGAAACGTCAACCTTCTGGCACTGCTCCTCTGCTTGTGTGTGCATGCACAGAAATATCCATGAACATGCATGAGAATTTATGCGATTAGGCTTGCTGCCCTGTGCGTCCGGCCTTGAGTCACTTAGAAGCAAAAAGAGGAGAGCGGGGTGACGACAGGGCACATCTGTCTGAAGATCTGTCCACTCTTCTGAACATTTACGCAGACAGCTAAAAATATACTGTGACAGGCTGCACAGAGAGCCTGCTGGAAGCCAAAGAAGCACTTGAGATTTGATGCATGCTTCTTCTTTTTTTTCCCTCTGCCTAATCTGATTCAGAAAGAGTGAAAGATGTCATCGTATGACAAAGACAACAAGAGTAAAACCCAAGAAGTGTGAGTCTTGAGTTTGTTGTAAGTAGGAGAACAAAAGCACAGTGATTAGATGAGCAGTTGTCGTGAATCAGTCACTCTGCCTCCCACTGGGAGCCTGTATAGCCCATGTTTTTTGGCACAGACGCAACTTGTGACGTCCTTTTGACAATTGCTTTATATGTGCCCAAAAATATGACTTCCAGAGCCACTGTGAGTGACACTGCTATTCCGGTAACACCATATTTGCTCCTGACTTTGGAGTAGGCAAACACATCCGTCTGGTGCTCTGCAGGGTTTTTCTCTCACTTTTCTTCTTGTTTGTTTTGGATGCCGTCTCTCAGCCATCCCGCACGAGTCCACATTTGGGAATCGTACAAAATTATTAGAGAATATGGGACACGAGCCCTTGGGACCTGCATTCATCTGTCTCCCTGTTTACAGAGGATAACAGGAAGCGCTTTCTCTGGAAGAGCCAGAAAAGCGGATTTAGTAAAAAACTTTGCAGGTTTTAGCAGAACGGGATGACGCAAATACGAGTCTAAAAAGTAAATCAACTTGGGTCCCAACACTTTATCTACGGCTCAGACAGCTCAGTAGGCTGAGCCAGAGATCTGTAGCCATAGATTAGTTATTTAAATTTGTTCATTGCATGAAACAATTTAAAAGCTTTTATTTAATTAAAAAAACAGCAAATCTGTTACATGTCTTAAGCCTCTTTGTCTTATCCACTGAGCAACTAGGCCTGCTGAGCCGCTCATTGCACATTGTATGGATCATTGTACATAAACGATGCTCTAATGACCAGCCAACTGTAGAAGATGTACTATTTGAACGAAGTCCTAAAAACATCAAAAATACAGAGCTGCACACGAGGGACATGGAGAGAAAACACAGGGAGCAGAGGTGGCAAAAGTACAGCCTCTGAAATGTACTCAAAGTAAGAAAGTAAAAAATAGCTCCTTGAAGGAAAATTCTACCAAACATTTTTGTACTAAGGTAACTGAACCTTGTGCAGTATTAATATAATAATTCTAATTCTAATGAATGTACTCAGCTTGAATCTGTTCTGTGGGACATAAGCACAGATAGATCATTTTAAAAAATGTTCTGTTGCTACATTGATGGGAAAATGGGAAATGGGAATGGGAAAATCCTAAGATATGTGTAGTGGGTCAGCACGGGGAAAAGAAAAACTACTCACAATAATTTTTAATATGAGCTTCAGTAGATTTACTTGGTGTAAAGGCTGTGTTCAGCTGACCAGCTGCTCTTTGTGGCTGTACACAACTGAATTCAACCAGATGTCAGAAGATGTTTCACAGCTATCTCAGCTGACTTCCATTTATAGAGTGAATGATCATCATCATCATCTTAATTGTTAATTAGTCTATTACAGCTGATGTAAACCAACACTGACCATGGTCACCACAGATACTGTGCAGCAGTTCAGTGCAGTTCTTTACAATAAATCCACCACAGTACGACAAGCTGACCTCTTTATCCCATACAAACTACCCAGGATTTTATACGTGACACTTGAATAACACAAAGTTAGTATATCTTTGTTTGTTTTGCAGGAATATCCAGTCTGTGATTGAAGTGATGACATCACATGCAAGCTTTAAATTTGCAGTTTATAAAGTGTTACTGAACAGTTCTTACCTTTAAACCTAGCCTAACACTTGCACTCCTTCCCAGGTATAAATGCTACAGAGGAACCTTTTTTAAGCATTTGTTTAAAAAAAATGTAAGCAGTAGGAAGTTCAGATATTTTCTGTTATGGTGGCAAAGTGAGGACCTGCTGATTTACAATATGAGAAGCTATTACAGAGTGAGTAGAGATAAACAAAATAACACAATGACAAGGAAACACAAAAGGGCTCAGACATTTTAGTGCACGTTTGAGGTTTGAATAATAATAACAATCATTTTTAACACAATTTAGTGGGCTACACACTGAACTTAGGGGGTAAAACAAAGTATGAATCCAGTTGCACTAGTATCGAGCCGATGCCAGTACCAGCACTGGTATCGATACGATCAAAATTTGTGTCGATCCACCCACCTCTGGCTAAAAGCTTTTGTAACAGCGATGGCGCCGAAAGCAGGTAGGTGTGTGAATCCTAAATGCTACACTGCAGCACTGAGATAAGTTTGTTTCCAGATCTTACACACACACTGCACGCTGTGTTATACAGTCTATAGCTACAGCAGCTGTCCGGTTCGGATTGGAATTTATCTGCGGAGTTAAAATCAGCAGGAGAAAGTTGGTCAAATGTTTACATTTTGCGCTTTTTTTTTTTGATGTATTTACATGAAATGTCTGAGCATTTAATAATGTAGTAAGTTAAGTTCACTCCCCTGCCTTATCCAACATTACATTCTGCAACTCAATGCAAGCCCCTTTGTGTTATGAAACCATCACGTAACAGCACGTGCGCTGTTCAGGTCGTCGAGGGAGGAAGCGCAAAGCGGAGGCAGAGGAGCAACAAACACCAGCAGGGAAGAAGAAGGAGCGAGGAGAGGAGGAAGGCAAAAGAGTGGTCATTGAACACTGGTGAATACACTAATCACATGGTTATAAGCGGTGTAGTAATTACCCAGATCAACCACTGCTGTTGTCCACTGAGTCCACTCACTACTTATTATATGGTTTATTCATTTTTAGTTTTTCCTTCTGAAATTTCAGTTTTAAAAAAATCAGTTGCTGTTGACTAGGTCATATAATCTTAAGACATTAAAATAAATCCATTTTACAGTATAAAAAACATCCATCCATTCTGTTCTGCTTATCTATGTCAGGGTCGTGAGGTGTGTGGGTGCTTGATTGAATAAGATTACTTTTAACAATGACAAATGCAACTGAGTATTTCATCTACAAAGTGGTACTTAAACAGTAAATTGTCTGTTTAGATTCTACAACAGTATTCTATATTATCCAATTTTTTTATGACTAATAAATAAAGTAAAATTAAGTATAATTCTTTACTATAAAGAAAGAAAGTACTTTCTCTTTTGCATTCAAAGTTGTCCTTGGGCTTAGTATTTTCTTAAATGTACTTTTCTAATAAAAGCACCTTATGCACCTGCACAGATGGCTACCTTATAGTTTACCTGTTGCTTCCTGCAGTAAAAGCTGACGAGTGTATAGGCATAATGCTGAGGAGGTGAAATCTGCCTTCCTGGCTGCCTGTCCTGCACTGCCTGTGATTCTCAACCCTGAGAAACCCCGCAAGAAGAGCTTCGAGATCACTCTTATGGATGGAGACAAAGGTTGGGAAGATGAAAAGGAAAATCCAAGATTAATCTACCCATTTTAGTGTTGCACAGGGAAAATATTAATGTTTATAGTAGCTATATCGACTGTACAGGGATTGTTAAGCATGTGATTTGGTTTTTCACTCACTCTGTATTATCACAGGACTTGCTTTGGATTACCATGTTCACATCAAAAATATTTCCTACTTGCAATCTTCTAAATTACATTGTTCCTCTTTTCTCTGATTCCTAAAGAAACATGCCTGTGGACTGGAATAAAGAAGGGTCCACCTGCTAGGCTGAAGTTTCCTCAGCCTGATGTAGTAGTTGCTGCTCTACAGGAAGCTCTGAAAGCTGAGCGGATGCCAAAGTTTGTCAAAGCTGTTGCACAGAAAACATCAGCTACAGATTAAGTAAGAGATGTACGTTCCCCCTAATTTAGTCTGGATGTCAGTTTAAACAAGTTGTAGATATTTCTTCTTTTATAATTATTTTATTTTGAGGCAAACATCCATGCATATTATTTGTGGAAAACCTCAGGCTACGCTGAGCTGTTGATGAAAATGTGCTTTGCCTGTGTTTATTGGAAAGAACTGACTATTCCTGTCCAATGTTTATGTTTTAGCCCAGCGTTCAGGAGATGTGACCAGTGGAAGCAAAATGATGAGGAGGGACCAAGGAGATGTTCTCAGTCCCTCCTCTGATGAGTCAAGTGCCAACTGTTGTCATCTTCTGGACACATGAGGTCATCTGGTGGAGCATAATGATGCTAATGATGTTTTTATATGTGTTTTGGTAAATTAGAGATTTTCTTTGTTACTTTTTAGATTTTTTACTTACTCTAGCAAAACACTTAATTGTTTTGTGCAAGTTAATTTTGCTGTGTTCAACTGGATGACTTGATACAACAATAAATCATGTTTTTTTTTCTGTCCATCCACTTTCTTTATTATGGTCACAGGGGGTCTGAAGCCCATCCCAGTTGTCCTTGGTAGAGGCAGGGTACACCCTTCACAGATCGCCAATCTATTGCAGGGCTAAAATGGAGATACAATCAATCATTCATATTCACATTTACACCTACAGCCAATTTAGAATCGCCAGTTAGTCTAATTAACTTAACCCAATGCATGTTTTTGCACTTTGGGAGGCTGGAGATTGCTCAATTCAAACACTGGACATTCTTTCTGCAAAGCAACAATGGTAACCATCACTGTGTTGCACTTTTGACCTTTTTCTAAATGTAAATCAGCAGGACCGAGAAACACAAAAAATATGTTTAATTTACTCAGGCAGGAACACACATAACCCTTTAAATCAGGTAACACACGTTCACTGCTTTAACTTTATATGCTTAAGTGTGTTGTCACCATACAAACACCATGTATTCCTGTTCATGTATAGGTACATACAAAGATAATGAAAGAACACTTATGCTAATGCTGTATGTGTTTAACAAACGGTTTGCATTTTTCTTTAAATGCAGTTTTAGTTAAATTACAGTAATTATATTAACACATTAGAAATAATAACGATAGATTTTATTTTCATTCATGCTCGGAAAACTTCCTATTAATGGTTTCGCCCAGCCAAACTGAAACCCCCTTCCCAAATATATTGGTACAGTCGACATGCGCGCGCCAAAGTTTTGTAACAGCAATGGCGTCCAAAGCAGGTGGGTGTGTGTTATAGGAATGTAAACAATACCGTATGTTTTCTTCTACAACAAAAGCTGTAACGGAGTTTGTCTGAGGAGGAAGACGGTTGTACCATTTTGATCCAGCGGTTATCATCCCCATGACTGTTTCAGCCTGTCTTTGTAGGTCATTTAGCTGAATGGCTACATGCACTGGAGCAAAGTAGTAACTGCGAAGATATTTACATTATTCACTTTCTAAACTCGTTAAATGTAGCAGGAGTCGGCGTGCTGACCTTTCTGACCATGTTTATTATGCAACGACTCATTAAATGGGTCATTATTATTACTACTCTATTGGGTTATGAAACTTCTCAGCTTGCACGTGCTCGAGTCCTCCTCTACTCACTCTCCTCCCACTAAGGGCATGACAGGAGGAGTTGGAGCATTACGCATTTATAAAACAGACCTCTTTACTTCATTTTATAAGGTTATACATTAAATATGACATGTAGCACAGCTGCATCCGAAATTATTTTGTACTCGAGTTCTGTGACAAACTGGCGATCTGCCCACAGTGTAAACTCCATGTCGCCCTATTTGTGCTGGGAGTCTTGCTGCCCGACTGCAATCCTGAGCTGAATAAGCAGAAGGAGATGGTGGATGGATGATTGCTTTATCTTTGGCTTTTGTAAGACTCTAGTAAGGCCAAAGACACCTCAGGCTAAATAAGTAGGTGGGCGGGCATAGGACCAGCATGCACCAGGAAGGGGCCTATGGTTTTATTTAACCATGGCAAGGGAAGCAACAGGAGCCAGCTACTTGCAAAGGATCGAGTAAATCAATGAACTGCATGTATTTTTTCTTCTGGGAAATTGACTTCTTTTGCCTACATACTTCACTTGCACATTGTGCATCACTGGCCTTTTGATGTGAATTTTGAATTTGACTTTACGTCAAGCAGCCACTAAAGATACACCCTTGAGTCCTCAATTGTAGCTTCTTGTGCAGGCTGTCTCTGTCACTGTCTCCTCTGTCCTATTGATGTTTTTAGAAATTTTCCATTCAGTATTGTGCGGCCTGATTGAATTCTGGGTCATGGACAAAAGGACAGAGGATAAATGAGACATGGAGGCACAAATTCAAGAAATAGCCAAACACAAAACTACACATGTGTGTTTGTAGGTCGTGGTGGGAAGAAGCGCAAAGCAGAAGTTCAAGCCGAGGAGGAGAAACCCTCAGTGGAGGAAAAGAAGGGCAGAGGAGAAGATGAAAGCAGCCAGGAAGGCCTCAGGGTGGTCATTGAACACTGGTAAAGAAAAAAAATATAATCACATTATAATCAGTGGTGAAGGAAATGCTAATTGTGTTTATTTAAAGTGAGTAAATATAGCCACCATTTTAAAATACTTAATTAAAAATAAAAATCAAAGTGTTTAAGTATCAGAAGTGAATGCATTGATTAGGTGGAAAAAAAAACAATAGTTCTCATGAAATCTGTTTATATTATTATTGAACCAGAACCAAAATGGATAACACCACAATTCACTGTGTAACTCAACTCTTAAAATCTGCAAAAAGGTGTCATCTTGATGTGTCACTTCTGGCAGTAAAAGCTGACGAGTGTACGGGCGTAATGCTGAGGAGGTAAAATCCGCCGTCCTGGCTGCCCACCCTGAACTGACTGTGGTCCTCAACCCTGAGAAACCTCGCAGGAACAGCTTCGAGATCACTCTGCTCGACGGAGGCAAAGGTAAACAGGATTTACTCAGCAATATGGATCTTTCATTGTAAAAAAAAAAAAAAATGATACAAATGACACTTTCTTCCCAATTCCTAAAGAAACATCTCTGTGGACTGGAATAAAGAAAGGCCCACCTCGTAAGCTGAAGTTTCCACAGCCTGATGTGGTAGTTTCTGCTCTGCAAGAGGCTCTGAAGGCTTAGACACCAAGTGTAGGTTTGGCAAAGCAGTTTGACTGAATAATGAATGCATAAAAAACAGATAGAAAATAAGAAAATGCAACTTTACTTCTTATTCACAGTAAACTGGTAACTCATGTAGCTTTGTAAATAGAATCAAGTCAGAATGCCTTCAATATGAATTGCAATGCAGCTGTTCAGTGAACAACAGTTGTGTATAAGTGTCTTTTTAACAAAACTTTTCCCATGTTATTTGCAGCCCAACATTCAGGAGATGCAGCCAGTGGAAGCAAAAATGACGAGAAGTGACCAAGGAGATGTTCTCAGTCCCTCCTCTGATGAGCCATGCTCTAACTGCTGCCATCTTCTGGGTGCATGGTGACACCTAGTGGAGCTTAGTCGAGCCAAAGCCTTTCTCTGACACATTACTGCTGTTTACTGTTGTGTTTCACAAACGTTCAGTTGTGGTTTTATGTCTTTTTCTTTTTTTTTTTGATAAATAAAATCTTTTTTGGGGTAATTGTGTGTATTTTGTTACAACTATCCAAACACTCAGCTGTTATTATGGAAAGTTTTTCTTATTTTGATTCAGGAACCAAGTGTGGAGAAAAAAAAACTAGAGATAAATTTTGTATGTTGAAACACATTAATCCTCACATGCATTCAGAAAGTGTAGCAATGTTTTTAATTGACTCAATACTATACAACCACTATTAGCATTTATTTATTATTAACAACATATTGCAACTCTTGGCAAATAAAGTACATGTTACTAATTGATAGGGTTAATAGTTTTAAACAGCTGACAAAGCACCTTGTAGCATATTTTAGAAGGTTGTGCAATTGCGTTCACCGCAATGCCCTTAATTAGTAATTTGAGGGCTCTGGTCTTAGTCTTGTGCAAAAAAGTCATCTTCCAAAACGTGATTGCAAATATTTGCTAAAAATGGTTGCTGGTATTTAAAAAGTTTTAAATCACTTGTTGGCCTTAAGAAATGAGTATATCAGAGGAACAGCTGAGGTTAAGCAGTTTGGAGACAAAGAGAGGAAAGGCTGAGATGGTTTGAACATGTGCAATGGGTACATTGGATAAAGTATGTTCAATGTGGAGTTTCCAAACAGGAGGAAAGAGCAAGACCACAGAGAAGGTAGTGAGGGAAGACATGCAGAGGGTTTGCGTGAAAACTGAGGATGCTAGGGATAGAGTGAGTTGGAGACACGTTGTGGCGACCCCAAAAGGAAGCAGCCGAAAGAGGAAGATTTGTTAATCTGTCTGTAATCTATAATCTGTCAAATGTCTCTTGTGTGAATGATATCAAGCCATTTTGATCCAGAAAAAAATCCCCCAAAACATTCATTCCTGTCACAAGGTAGAAGCTACAATGAATTTTGTGTCACATGCCAAGCTAATATAAACAAGTCGCGTTGTGAGGACGTCACACAATGACACCGAAAACGTGATCGTCTGCCAAGTGTTTGCGAAATGTTGCTTTGCTTTGTTTTTGCCTTAAATATAAACAAGGATAGCAGACACACAAAAAGGATTCAAAGTCTTCCGTTTTTGGCAGACGAACATTTTGTTTGAATAATCGCCAGGATGTGACGTCATTGTCCCGCGACCAGGCAAGTCAACGGTTCCTCATGAGCACGGGACCGATTTCTTTCTACAATAAGTCTTGAAATTGGTGCGTAACTTTTATACATTACAAATTAATACGTTTTAGACTTTTGCTTGACGTTGCGAGAATCATCTGGGCGGGTTTGTAAGCAGTGATTAGACCTTTGCTAATCTTAGAAAGGTCGAATTAGCCGTGGCTCCGCTAGCTGGTTTGTTGATTTAAGTGGTTTCCCCCTTAACTTTACTTGAACCTATCATTGTCCGTAATCAGGTGTGTTTTTGTCATTTGACTTATCCGTTTCACTTTACAGGTAGCCAAGATTAATTACGCCGCCGTGGTTTTAGGACAAAATCACTGAAGTGTGTTTCAATTTCAGAATATCGTGGGCCTTCGGCTGGAAGGGCTGGAGTTGTGTTATATTTTATGATTGCTTTTAGAACCGTATATAGAAAAGATTTTTAGAAGAATAAATATGTTGAAAATATATGGACCAACTTTGGAGCATAACATTTTTAGGGAAGTCGACAATGGTCGAGCAGAAAATGCTCAAAAAATGACTCATGATCTCAGATTGACTAATCCTGCAGAGGGAAAACACCGATCACATCACAGTATTTAAACAATTCCATCTTTTACTCTGTATGATCAAGTTTATCTTTTATGCATACAATGTTAAAACACCAAATTAAAAATAATGTGAGGGGTAATGCTAGAGTTAAAATTAGTGTTTTTAAAAAGTTGTAAAACTACGGTAGTT